AATGGGTACCACTCCTTAGAGAGAGTGGGCACACTGACGCCTCCCCGTGGGGTGGAGCGGTGTTAGCCGGCGAACGGAAGTCCAGCTCACAAGATTGGAAAGCCTAGAGAGATCTCCTCGGCATGAAGAAAGCCTGTAATGGGCCATTCCGGCCAGGCGGTGGCAGTGCGGCGCTACAACTCAAAGGAGTCTGGAGAAAAGCTGATGCCATCAAATCAGGCCGAGGAAAAATGCCATCCGGATGACGTCTCATCTTCAAACTGAACGAAACCCTCGTCGGCAGCAAATGTGTGTGAATTAAGATGTATATATGTTGTCCTCCCTTACCCCACAAATCATTGTTAGTCTCTCGTAATATTGAGTAACTGAATCGCTCAGAGCCAGCAAGCTCTGCAGGATTGAACGATCAATAAATTGAAAGATTATATTATTATTATCATAATGACCCTGTATCACAGCCTTGGAAAAAGTGCACAAAAGGGCAACTAAAACGATTAAGGGGGTGGAACACTTTCCCTATGAAGAAAGGTTAAAGCGCTTGGGGCTCTTTAGCTTGGAGAAACGACGGCTGAGGGGTGACATGATCGAGGTTCACAGCATTATGCACGGGATAGAGCAGGCAGAGAAAGAGGTACTTTTCTCCCTTTGTCACAATACAAGAACTCGTGGGCATTCGATGAAATTGCTGAGCGGTCAGGTTAGAACGGATAAAAGGAAGGACTTCTTCACCCAAAGAGTGATTAATGGCTAAGCCCTTTTGAGCCACACAGGAAAGGCAGTGCATGCACATTTTAAGAGATAATCAAAATTATAGGGGTGGCTCCCAACAAAAATCCTTTCTGACAAGTAACCACACAGCACCTGCTTCTCCCCCAGCCAAAGAAAGAAACTCACCGTTCCACGGAGGAGGGACCCACTTTTCTGTCTCTTTGCTGGGGTACATGACAGCACCTCCATACTGCTGATACCACTCCACATCGGGCTGCCACTGCTTTCCTCTGCCAGGGGAAAAGGAGAGCAAAGCAATCAAGACCTGGCCAACTCCCGAAGCCTACCTTACAGGGGTGTTGTGAGGGTAAAGCAGGAGAGAGGAGAACAGTGTAAGCTGCTCTGGGTCTCCACTGGAGAGAAAGCCAGGATATGAATGATGTAAATAAATAAACGGAAAAACGTAACAACAAGGTGTATAATGCAAACCAAAGAGGGCACAGGTTGTTAGCTAGCTTGTGAATCAGGACAAGGGACGCTGCTTCTGCTGCATATCCAAATGACTGAGTTGCACAGGTTGGCCACATTCTCCTAGGTAAGGCCTTGTGCTGCACAAGAAGTTCAACAGGTAGTGTCACCTCTCACTAAATCTCTGCACTACCTCACTAAATCTGTTAATTAAGAGCCAATTTGATGTAGTGGTTAAGTGCACAGACTCTAATCTGGGAGAACCGGATTTGATTCCCCACTCCTCCACTTGCACCTGCTGGGTGACCTTGGGCAAGCCATAGTTCTGCCACAGCTGTTCTTGAAAAAAGAGCAGCTCCACCTACCTCACAGGGTGTCTGTTGTGGGGAGGGGAAGGGAAAGGAGTTTGTAAGCCGCTCTGAGACACCTTTGGGTAGTGAAGGGCGGGGTATAGATCCAATCTCCTCTTCTTCTTCTTTTACCTCACAGGGTGTCTGTTGTGGGGAGGGGAAGGGAAAGGAGTTTGTAAGCTGCTCTGAGACTCTCTTGGGTAGTGAAGGGCGGGGTATAAATCCAATCTCTTCTTCTGCACAGGGAGAAGCTACAGTGTTAAGACTTCTCCTCTATGCAGCTACAGTGTTAAGACTTCTCCTCTATGCAGCTATTACAGGCCCAGAATCTCTTTCAGGAAGGGGGGGGGGGAAAGATGGCTAGTTTTTGTTCATTTGTTTGTTTCATTGCAGGAAGCAAAAATAGCTACTGCTAGTAAGTATGGAGAAGGGGAAGAGGAGAGGGACAAGGACGATCAGCCCTAGGAGGAAAGGCTGAGGGACTTGGGAATGTTCAGTCTGGAGAAGAGGAGGCTGAGGGGGTCATGACTGCTCTCTTGAAGTATTTGAAGGGCTGCCACTTAGAGGAGGGCAGGGAGCTGTTCCTGTTGACAGCAGAGGAGAGGACACACATCAATGTATTTATAGTACAGGCAGAAAGGTACCAGCTGGATATTAGGAAGAATTTTTTTCCCCCAGTAAGAGTTGTGGAACAGTGGAATCAGTGGCCTAGGGAGGTGGTGAGCTCCCCCTCACTGGCAGCCTTCAAGCAGCCAGAGATGCTTTAGGCTGATCCAGCATTGATAAGGGGGTTGGACTGGATGGTCCGTATGGCCCCTTCTCACTATATGATGATTCTATCTAAATTTATTACCAGAAGGAGAAAGCTGCTTTTTATTTTTACACAGCGATAAGCATGTCTAATCCTAGGAACCAGAAAAAGTTGTCACTTTTTATTAGCCTCACTACTACATCTTTAACAGCAACCTTACACTAGTGTTGCCAACTAGCCTGCAGGAAAATGTCCTGTCCCTTTAATAGAGGTTTAATGCATGGAGATGGGAGAGCTGAAGCTTTCCATGGCATGGAGATAACATCCCTTTCAGCCTCTCTTAAAGGGCAGAATGTTTTTCTCCTGGCCAGTTGGCCACCCGACACACAGAAATAAAGCAGAAGAAGCTTTTTCCTGGTATGGAGATGAAGGAGTGGGAGAAGTATTATTTGCTACTGTTAAAGCAATGGGGGTAGTAAGAAAAGGGGCAAATGTAGAGGCTGTGGGGCTTGATTGTGCAGCACTCGTTAGCCCTGTTTGAAATGTATCAAAACACAGCATGCTTTTACCACAGATGTTTGTTCAGATGTTAAAGATATAGTCTCTCTTGTTTTTAGCCAGTTTGGTGTAGTGGTTAAGTGCGCGGACTCTAATCTGGGAGAACTCGGTTTGATTCCCCACTCCTCCACTTGCAGCTGCTAGATGAGCTTGGGCAAATCATAGTTCTGGCACAGCTGTTCTTGAAAAAGAGCAGTTTCTGTCAGAGCTCTCTCAGCCCCACCTATCTCACAAGGTGTCTGTTGTGGGGAGGGGAAGGAGTTTGTAAACCGCTCTCCGACTCCTTTGGGCAGTGAAGGGCGGGGTATAAATCCAATCTCAACCAATCTCTCTTAATAGATTATCGCTAATATAAGGAAAGTTCTCGTTGATTCTTTTAAAGAGAGAACTCATCCCAAAACAATGTAATTTTGTTTTACTGTCTGCTTCTATATTTGAAACGTGTATTCTTACTAATATATCTGATTTTACTTGTATGTAATAACCAATGCTCTCTCTAAGCTGTGGAGTCTTGTGAGCAAAAAATCTGCTTTGTGAACTACTGGCATTAAAGTCGTGGGCAAGCGATTTGGCTACTGCATAAATTAGTTTGCTCTGGAGCCCTCCTTCCTGAGCTAAGACAAAAATGTGTGAGCTAGAGGTTAAAAAACTGAGCTAGCTCAAACTAGCTCAGCTTAGAGGGAACACTGGTAACAACCTATAATGTTTGATAAATCTGATGAATGTGTATTTCCCCCTACCCTCTTTCCTTTTGTACACCACTTTCTTTTTGAGAAAATAAAAAAAACTGATCACAAAAAAAACACACAGCATGCCACACAAAAGCAGACGGTAACTCTTGGTAAGTGCAGAGTGTTTTCCCTTTACTAGCGAGTAACCACAACTTGCCCACATACACGTCCCATCAGAGAACAGGGCTTCCAGGTCAGAATGTGGCTGTCAAGAGAATTAAGAGCTTGATACTCCTCCAGAAGCCAACCTGATGCGGTGGAGAAGCGACTTAACGACAAGGAGGGGAGGCTGCAGCACACACAGTTATGGAGGAGATTGCAAAAAAATTCCAACCGTGCACCAGAAAGAGAACATTACCTGGTGGGAGCCGTCCCCAGCCCAGTGCCTTTTAACCATGACCCTGAAGGTGCCCGCAATCTCCATAAGGACCTGAGCGCCGCCATCTTCCCTTGCGGCACCGCGGAATCCCAACAACGTCACAAAGGCGCATGCTCTGTTTCCTTGTCGGGCTTTCAAAGCCGCCATTATTGTTGTGGGCATACGGACTCTCCCCCCCCCATGCGAGGTGAAGCTACGACTCGGTGGCTTCAGGAGCCGCCGCTGAACCGGCGCCAAACCAGTTGCGCATGCTCAGTAAATAGATCCAGGTGGGTAGCCGTGTTGGTGGGAAGCAGCAGAATAAAGTTGGAGTCCAGAGTGGCACTGGCACCTTTAAGACCAGCAAAATCTTATTCTGGGTATAAGCTTTCGTGTGCACGCACACTTCTTCAGATTGAACTGCTTTCCCTCTCCCACATCTCTGTTTTGATAGTTTTTAAGAATAAACGGATCTGCCCAATGCTGGTCCATGGGGTCGCGAAGAGTCGGACTCGACTGTGCGACTGAACAACAACAACCAATAAATGCACGCCGCACAATTTGGTTAGTCTGTCAGATGCCGCTGGGCTCCACTTTAATGTCCCCGGGTATCTAAGCTAGGGTTGCCAGGTCTGGGTTGGAAAATACCTGGAGACTTTGGGGGTGGATCCAGGAGAGGGTGGGGTTTGGGGAGTGGCCGCAGCATGGTACCATACCATCGAGTCCACCCTTCAAAACAGCCATTTTCTCCAGGGGAGCTGATCTCTGTCAGCTGGAGATCTCCAGGCCCCACCTGGAGGTTGGGAACCCTAATCTAAGCAAAGGCAAGGCCAGTGGCTTCACTAGCTTCTGTTGAGCATGCTCGCTAGTAAGGCACTCCCAGACATCTAAGTCGCGGCAAGACTGGGGGGCGCCATCTGCTGCTATTGAGATTTTGTGCAAGATTATTTGCAAGCTAAGTGAGGGCAATACCACAGTTTGTTGGCTTCAAGTTCTCCTACTGAGCATGCTCAATAATAGAGTGCCGCGTTATAGGACGCCGTGGCGGTTGTGACCGCTTAAACGGAAGTGGCGTTAGCATTCCGGAAACGGAAGGAAATATCTGTTACGCTGAGGCTGGAGTGGGAAGTGGTGACCTTTCTGGAGGACGCCGAGCGGGTGGGTAGCTCGACTCTTAATTTCGGTCGCAGTTTTTTGTCTCCAAGCGAGCAAGCGGGGTTCTCAGGAGGCGGCAAGGACTGTTCTCTGTTTGCCATCCCTGCTGCTTGGGAGGGCGACGCGGACTGCCCTATGGCAGATGGGCTGGCCAAAGACCTTTTCCCATTACTGTAGTTAGTTGCATGTTTAGTTGCATGTTAGGCTTTCAAGGTCTCCCCCCAACCCAACAACGCGATTTTCAGTAGCGCCAATAACCAATGCAAATATCTATTAAAGCCTAATAACATCCACGGAGGACTCGCTCTTGGAAGGATTAAGATGGCCCTCCGTGTTTGTCGTAGTAGAAAAGAGCAAGATTCCAGAAGCACCTTAAAAGATTAACAAAATATGTAGCAGGCAGTGTTCCCTCTAAGCCGAGTTAGTGTGAGCTAGCTCACAGATTTTTAGCCTCCAGCTCACAGATTTTTGTCTTCGCTCAGGAAAGATGGCTCCAGAGCAAAGTAATTTATGCAGCAGCCAAATCGCTCACAATTTGAATGCCAATAGCTCACAAAGTAGAATTTTTGCTCACAGGGCTCCGCAGCTTAGAGGGAGCATTGGTGGCAGGGTAGGAGCTTTTGCGAGTCCAGTCACACCAGCTATTGTCATTTCCCTGCTAATGTCATTCTGCATCTGAAATCACTCCACTTTCCAGTACATAGGATTTATTATTATTATTAATGGATAGATGGACTGCCATTCTAGCTGTATCTGAAGAAGTGAGCTGTGACTCATGAAAGCTCCAGCCCTGCCACATATTTTATTAGTCTTTAAGGTGCTACTGAAGTCTTGCTCTTTTCTCTTGGAAGGGTGCCTGACTAATCCCCTCTCCCCATGTGATGATTTTAAGGATGGTGTTTGTTTGATTTAGAGCATACTTATTCAACAAAGGGTCTTCAAAATGGATTGTGATTTTTTTAAGAGTACTGTCAGTACATTAGCCCCTTGGTGTTCTGTGTTAGATTTTTGTTCTTTTGGAATGCAGTTGTTGAGTAGTGCATACTTTTAACAGGAGTAGAGCGCTTAACAGTGAACTCTTAGAACAAAGTTTTAGTCCAGTTGCACCTTTAAAACCAACAACATTTTAATTCTGAGTATAAGCTTTTGTGTGCATGCACACTTCTTCGGGTGCATTGAAACAGATTTCCTCAACCATTACATATAGGTAGAGAGAGGGTGGGGCTAGTTAGAGTCAAAATGCGTAAGTAACTGAGTGATAAGCATAGCTAAGATTGGATTAAAGCAGTTGGTAAGACCTGTGAATAGCAGCAAATTAGCATATAGGTAATAAAACAGTTAACAAACAGATGAGAGAACTGAGTTTGAGTCCAGTGGCACTATTAAGACAAACAAAGCTTAAATCTTGGTATAAGCAAGAACTGAGTGACTTAGCATGTGTAGTGAGATAAGAACCCAATATCTCTGTTAAGTCCTGGGAGTTCCATTGTCCTGAGTGTTGTAATAACTTGTAATTCAAGAATCTCCCATTCCAGTCTGTTTCTGAAATTCCTTTGCTGTGAAACAGCGACTTTGAGGTCCCCCACTGAGTGCCTTGGGAGGATGAATTGTTCTCCTACAGCTTTCTCAAATTTTGTGACCCCCTATGTAGAGAACTGAAGGGTGTTGTTGGCATTTAATGGCAATGTTAGAAGATGAGCAAGTGAATGTGCCTGAGATGGTGTTGTTGAAGTTGTTGTGACTTCTGGGTGTATGTCACGGGTGTATGTTACGGCAAAGTTGGCATCTGGGTGTATTGCAAATCTGGGTAATAGTGTCCTTGTGCAAATTAGCTGTTGTATTATGGGGGGGGGGGAGCTGTTTTATGTATACTTTCTTACGAGTAAGTTCTGCTTAACTCGGTGGATGTAAACATACACAGAACTGTACTGCCCTGTGAACTAAGCAGGAAGCTTCTGATTTGCCCCCAGATTTTATTTTGTTATTGGCTCCATGTGGTAGTTGCTGGTAGGAAGAGAAGTCTTAACTAGAGGTGGTTGCAGAAGTAACGGAAGGATGCTGGGTTGTTGCCTCCGTGGCTTGAGGAAGGGGAATCCAGGAACAACGTCAGCCGTCCACAGGAGAAGGCGGAGGATTGCTCTGTTTTCCATCCCTGTTGCCAATGTTCCCTCTAAGCTGTGGAGTCTTGTGAGCAAAAAATCTACTTTGTGAGCTACTGGTATTACAGTTGTGAGCAAGTGATTTGTCTACTGCATACATTAGTTTGCTCTGGAGCCATCTTTCCTGAGCTAAGACAAAAATGTGTGAGCTGGAGACTAAAAAACTGTGAGCTAGCTCACACTAACTCAGCTTAGAGGGAACACTGCCTGTTGCTGGTACAAGAACTTGCAGACGCAGGGTTTAATGCTTTGTGAACGGTCTTGTTTTGCAACTGACTCAGTTACAATGACTTTATGTGATTCTGATATTTTGTCAAGCCGCTCTGAGTGTGCGAATGGGAAAGTGGAAAAGAAATAAAATGGACCTTTTGTTGGTTCCTTCAGTGATGAGTAACCATAAAATACAGGCCTAAAAAAGTATACGTTAAAGTAAGTCAAATAAGAGGTGAGCTGAAAAGCCAGATTAATTTCCCGAACCCATTCTGAAGGGGAGGACTGCTGAATTACAGTACAGTCCTATTCATGTTTCCTTCCGTTCTGCTGTGTAAAACATTACCTTTACTCCCAGGAAAGTGTGTGTAAGGTGGAGCCCCAGGCTGCAAACAATTTTATTTATTTATTAAATTAGATTGATAACCCGCCCTTCCCTGCAGAACAGGGCGCAGGGCGGTGTACATCAGTGAATGGCCCAAAGTCATGGTATAAGTAAGAGCTAACAAAATAATCTGATTTCTGAAATCAGTCTAAAACTGTTATCATGGCACTGAACTAAATTAAGTTTATTTTCTGTGTCACGCTAACTTACTAGAAACACTGTTCCTGATCTGGGGAGGGGTGCGTGTTGTCAGTCACATTAAGACCAGGAAGATCCCGCTTCAAAACCCTAACTGGTGATGAAACTCAGTGAGCGGCCTTGGGTGAATTACACTTTTAGCACAGCCTTCCTTACAGTTTTCTGCCAGGATCATATTTGGGAGAGAAGAACCATGTGGACAGCTATCCCAAAGCTTTGCAGAAATAAATTGCCCCAGGGGTCATTTCCTGTGGGAGCGCACAGGAGCAGAGCTCCGGCAGTAAGGAGCCCAGGGGGCAGGCACATGCAACAAGCCCCGCCCCCTGCTTCCAACAGCCCTCAGTTGGGCCATGAGGAGCAAGAAGCAACCAGGTAAGTTGCAGAGCCCCCCCCCCGGCCCGCCTTCAGGTACAAGCTCTCCCTTCTCTGTGAGGGCAGATCTGCGTGTTCCCCCCCAATAGCTAGCAATCCAAAACAGTCCAATGGAGCCTGAGCGGTGGGTGTTGCCTTCTGACACACTTCCGGTGAGGTCAGGGAGTGTGGCATATGCAAATAAGTTATGCTAATAAGTTATGCTAATGAGCTCCTGCACCTCTTTTTCTACTAAATGACCCCTGAATTACCCCGCAGTGCTTAAGATCAGTCACATTATAATGCTTCAAGTAAAGCGTAAAGGGCTCTTGACGAATTTTTTTGAGTAGTGGGACATGGTGGTTCGAATCAATTTATGAGGTGGGTGGGTGGGTTTCAAGAAAACCAGGATTATATGAACACAGGAGTCTTTGAAGTAACTTGTTCGTGATTAGGGGGGAGAGGAGAAGCTGATAATTACCTTTTTTTAAAAAACGTTGAGGATGGAATCAAAGCCTTTCATCCCATCTAACCTAAAACACATAAGCATGTGGTCCTCGGAACACTTCTCCAAAGATCCACATATGCATTTGGAGAAGGAACACCTGAAAACTGTTAACACCCAAATTTCCTTTGCTCTATGTTGCTTTTGTAGAAAAACCTGCCAAGATGGGTCTGGAGTTTGGAAACCTGGCACGCGTGAGACACGTGATCACCTACAGCTTGTCTCCCTTTGAACAGAGAGCATTTCCCAACTACTTCTCCAAAGGGATTCTCAACGCCTGGCGGCGATTCAGTTCACAGTTCTTCCGGGTGGCTCCTCGTAAGTGAAAAACCCTTTGATGTTGTTCAGACTGCTCTTTCTGTGTGCTGCCTACTATTTATGTCAGGGGTCCCCAGCAATGCTCCCTATAAGCTGTGGAGTCTTGTGAGCAAAAATTCTACTTTGGGAGCTACTGGCATTAAAGTGGTGAGCGAGCGATTGGGCTACTGCATCAATTAGTTTGCTCTGGAGCCGTCCTTCCTGAGCTGAGACAAACAATGGGTGAGCTAGCTCACACTAGCTCAGCGGGGAACGCTAGCCCCCAAACCCTTTTGAGCCTGTGGGCACCTTTGGAATTCTGACAGTGTGGTCGGCGCGGCCACTAAATCGCTGCCTCCAAATGGCGGTGCGGGAGGTGGAGCCAGCTACAAAATGGCTGCTGCAGCTTAACTTAGCCACACGGTAAAGATCCTTGTGGTGTGGTGGCAGCTGTCGCCAAAGCAACATATTTTAAAATCTCCGATAATCGGAAGCCTTGCTGGGCAGAAGCCCCACCTTGCCCTGCCCACTTTCTAAAAGCCTTTGGCATGCACCATGATGCCCACCGGCACCATTTTGGGGGACCCTGCTGTACGTGCATGTAGATAAACTGTTGTAACCAATGCTCCCTCTAATCTGTGGAGTCTTGTGAGCAAAAATTCTACTTTGGGAGCTACTGGCCTTAAAGTGGTGAGTGAGCAATTTGGCTACTGCATAAATGAGTTTGGTCTGGAGCTCTCCTTCCTAAGCTATGACAAAAAAGGTGTGAGCCGGAGGCTAAAAAACCGTGAGCTAGCTCACACTAACTCAGCTTAGAGGGAACACTGGTCGTAACTGTAACTGTTGAGGGTCTAGCGCCTTGAAGTCTGTCGGATCAGGACAGACTCGGACTCAAACTTAGAGCAGTACATGGATACCCAAGGCCGGGAATGAAGGCCAGTAAACGCGAGCTAGTTGCAGAAGCCGGAAATCTTGGCGTGTGCGTCTGCCATCACACGGAAGAGGGAACATTCACCGTGAATTTGGTGAGTTTGTTTTTTCGGAAAAGCACTAGATGGAGCAAGAGAGCAGCATGAAAGCAGAAGTCTCCCATCGTCAGTAGACAACCCGGGTGTTTGCCAGCTGCTCTTCCGCGTGCTCCCGAAGTATAAGAGCCTTAATGTAATTACATTGTTATGTCCTCCCGCTCATTAGCGTGTACCGAATTAATAGTGATTAACGCTAAACGATGGCATTTACGCAGCTCGTTTCAAGTGTTCGGAGAGCTTCACGTGTGGCCACTAATTCTTACAGCAGCATATAGTAGGTATTGTGGCCTTTTGGATATACTGGGTTTGAACACTTTAATTGATCATTTTGGTTGAATTAAAGAGGAGTGGAAGACATCGCACCACACCGTGGTGGGGAGGACATACCTAGAGCTGTGTGTGTTAAGCGGCATCGAGTCGCTGCTGCCGACCTATGAATCAATGTCCTCCAAAACGTCCTTTTGTTGACAGCCCGCTCAGGTCTTGCAAACTGAGGGCCGCGGCTTCCTTAATTGAACCAATCCATCTCTTGTTGGATCGTCCTCTTTTCCTGCGGCCTTCAGCTTTTCCAAGCTTTATTGTCTTTTCCAGTGACCTAGATAGATTTTGATGGGAATGAAGGCGAACCAAAGATTCGCCACAGCCGAGGAGCTCCTGGCTAAACAGTATTTCTGAAAACTCTGGAACATCTTATAGAAGGTGTTGCTAGAGCTCGTACCCATAAGGGTGTTAATGCGATACGCAACCCGTAACACTTCGGAACACGCTCACCGCAAGATTTTAAGATCTCCCCAGTATTGGTCTCAGGTTTTTGAAGTGCTTCCTATCAGGATAGTTTTTTTTTAACGAGTACTCAATACTTGGTGTTGTGTTTGTTTCCCTAAGCATTTATCATCGGCTATATGATTTATTCCTGGGGGACGGAAGAATTTGAACGCCTGAAAAGGAAGAACCCTGCCGACTACGCGAACGATGAATAATCCGAATCTGGCCGAGAACCATTATGGCATCTTACCCGTGTCAGCGCTTGTTCTGCCTCCTGGCTCGTTGAAAAACACTTAAAAAAAATTATAAAGACAAAAAAAAACCCACTTAAAAAGTCTCGTTCAATAAACCTGTATTTCTGATCCCACCTCTGACTAATTCTTTGAAGCTTGTGTCAGAGAGACGTCCTATGGTGGGGTGGGACTGGCTGCCCTTTGCTGCCTCCCTTTCTCTCTCTGTTAAAAAAGACACTGGTTTTATTTCTTTGTTAGATTTTTTGTTTAGTTGCCATTCACCACAAAGGTCTCGCGACAACTTACAACATTAAAACCAATAAGACAAAAGGGAGCGGTGGCGCAGGCAATACGACGCCTGCGGTTAACATCTGTAGCGAACAGCCATAATGGCTGTTCGAATCCCCACCGCGGCCGGGTTGAGCCCCCGTCCCTCGTCCCAGCTCCCGCCAACCCAGCAGCTCTAATAACAACAGAGGAATGGGTACCTGCCCTAGGTGGCAGGGGGCACCCTCCTCCTGGCTCTGCGCTGGGAAGGCGATCGGCAGCGGCGAGGAAAAGGAGAGACGGCGGCGGCGACGGCGAGAAAGAAATGGCGGCGGAGAGCGACCCAGGAAGGCAGCGGCCGGACCGAGTGAAAAGGCGGAGTTGGAGCCGGAGCAACGCGGTGACGCGGGACGTAGCGTGGCAGGAGCTGTTGGGACATTGGCCGTAAGCTGCGCCCGAGACGCGGCGCTCCGAAGGAGAGAAAAAAACCAAGAAAGCCTGCTCGAGTCTGGTCGACAGCCATCCGGATCGCGGGAAAAACAACAAAGCTGCCGGAGAAGAAAGACTATGCCGTAAAAAGGGTGCTGGTAGGATAAAGAAATCACATATTAAAAAAATAAATTAATTAATTTTAAAAAATAGCATAAAGACAAATACAAATATAAGTGCATCCTTGGACCCTGCTAAACCTTCCAATTACCGCCCGGTCTTGAACTTATCGTTTCTGGGTAAGGTGATTGAGAGAGTGAGCAGCTCCAGAGTTTCCTGGATGACACATTCGCGTTGGATCCATTCCAGTAGGCTTTTGGACCGGCCGTGGGATGGAGACGGTCTTGGCCGCCCTGACAGACAATCTCCACAGACAGCTTTATCGAGGTGGATCGGCGCCGCTGCTGCTACTTGATCTCACAGTGGTGTTTGACACAGTTGACTGTGTCAGGGCTCTTTTTTTAGCAAAAACTCCTTTGCATATTAGGGCACACCCCCCTAATGTAGCCAATCCTCCAAGAGCTTACAGAGCTCTTCTTACAGGAGCTACTGTAAGCTCTTGGAGGATTGGCTACATTAGGGGGTGTGTCGCTTAACATGCAAATGAGTACCTGCTACAAAAAGAGCCCTGCTTCACTGACATGGGAGTCCGTGGGGTAGCCTTGAAATGGCTTTCCTCATTTCTCGTTGGTTGTGGACAGAGGGTGGCACTGGGGGGAAAGGTGTCAACTAGGTACCCCTTAAAATGTGGGGTTCCTTGCTGTATGCTGGCCTGCCCTTGAGACTGACCCGGAAACTTCAACTGATCCAGAATGCGGCAGCACAAGTCCTGATGGGAACGTCACGGATGGCACACACTCGGTCTGTGCTGCGCTAGCTGCACTGGCTTCCAGTGGAGTACTGATCTCCAAGGCCGTGAGCGGTCAGGGACCCATGTATCTTCAGGACCGCCTCTTCCGGTACGGTCCCCCGAAGAACGTTACACTCTGTTGAGAAAAGTCTGCTGGTGATCCCTGGCCCCAAAGATATCTGGCTGTCCTTGACCAGAGCAAGGACTTCTTTGCCCCTGGCTCCAAGCTGGTGAATGCTCTGCCAAATAACATCAGGGCCCCGCGGGATTTAATGCAGTTCCACAGGGCCTGCAAGGCAGAGATGTTCTGCCAGGCTTTTGGCTGAGAATAGCGATGGGCTGGCTCTGTCGTGGCTGGCACCTCCCCCTCCTTTATTCCATCTTTTCTTTCAGCCTCCTCCCGACCCTCCCTGTGAGATAGCAACACAGTCTGGAACTGGCTTAAAATTTGATTCATGGACACCATCTGGGAACTGTCTTTAAAGACTGTATTGAATGATTTATTATTGTGACTTAACTGACGTTTACACTGTATTTTATTGACTGTTGTACATCGCCCAGAGCCCTGTGAACCCAGGGACAATGGCGATCCATAAATTAAATGTATAAATAAAAATAAACGTTAACTATAAAATGTAAAAATACTGAATATAAAAACATGAACAGTTTTACATGACTTAAAATCAGGTTTAATTCCCCCTGAAAACTAGTGTTTTATTATGTTTTATTTACTCATTAATTGCAACATTTTATATCCCGCCTTTCCTCTTGGCCCAAGGCAGCTTGCAATAAGAGCTGAAAGCATCTTCCGTCTAAAGCCAGAAATAAAATGGCAAACCCCAGATCTCTCCCCCTCTCTTAAAAGATCCCTGCCATTCAAACCCCTTCAAAAGCCCCGGCAAACAGGCAGGCTTTGGAGCACCCCTGAAGAACTCCAAGGAAGGGGGGGGGCTTCACCTCTTCAGGGCACCCATTCCACAAAGATAGAGCCACTATGGAAAAGGCCCGGGCAGGGGCACCAATGCCAGACAGGCCTCCCTGAACAGTGGGATGGTCAACAGATTGCTGTCTGATGACTGTACATCTTAAGGAGTTAGCACACCGCCAGGGTTATCCAATGAGATATGGTAGAGGCAGGATGCCGATGCAGTCACAAGGTAGATGCATATAAATGCAGTGAATAAAAAACGCATGAAACGAGCCTCACTACATTTATGTGAACATTGAAGTTATCAAGAACTGCTCCCAACAGTAGTTTCACCATGAGGGATGCTCAGGCAGCTGCGGATTTTGGACAGCGGGAAGGTGGCAGCGCTGGGATAGGCCGATGAGATGAAAGTCCTGGCAGGCAGAGAACATGGTGGATTATTCCCTATGCTAAAAGGGAAGAAGCTCCTCCTTTGACTCCAGGCCTCCAAAGTCTCGGAGTGACAGAATCCTTTGGGAATTGTAAAGTGCTTCCTACAGTACTTAAAAATGTCTCAACTATTTCCAAAGATTGCAGTGCTTCTGTTTAATTTGAATTTTCAGCATGTGTGTGGGTACATTGGTTGGGTATTTTGAGGTGGGGAGCTGTGTTCGTTTGTAGTATTAGGACAAACTGAAAGTCCGGTAGCACCCAAGAGGCCTTTTCAGGTCATAAGATTTCATGAGTCAAAACTTACTTTTTCAGATACAAATGAGGTTGAAGATCCACCAGCCTTTACATCAGGGTCAGAGGTTGGGCCACCCAATGAGAAGGGAGCACTCCCTGGAGAAGACCCTGATGCTGGGAAAGATTGAAGGTCAAAGAAGACGGGGACGGCAAAGGATGAGATGGTGAGACAGTGTTATTGATGCAACGAACATGAAATTAAGCAAACACTGGAGCACAACGGAAGACAGGAGGGCCTGGCATGATGTGGTCCATGGGGTCGCGAAGAGTCAGACTCGACTGTGTGACTGAACAACAACAACAACAACAGAAGTTGGGAGGGTTGTTACAAAGAAGGGCAACGGAGTAAGAATGCAGAGGTACAATGCAAAATGTAATCAGCTTTATTAAAGCTAGGATTTATGCACTGAGGTGGGATATGCAGAAAAAATGGAGGGGGGGGGGTTGAAGCACCTTACCTATGAGGAAAGGCTGAAGAGTCTGGGACTTTTCAGTTTAGAAAAGAAATAACTAAGGGGGACATGATAGAGGTTTATAAAGTTATGTACTAGGTGCAGAGAGTCGACAAAGAGAACTTTTCTCCCTCTCCCAAAATACTAGAACTTAAGGGTATCCGATGAATCTGATGGACAGTGGGTTCAGGATGAACAAAAGGAAGTAATAGTTTACACAGAACAAAGTTTGAGTCCAGTGGCACTTTTAAGACCCAACAAAGTTTTATTCAAGGTATAAGCTGATTCAGACCAACATGGCTACCCACCTGAATCTACTTTACACAGAAGGTGATTAAAATGTGCTGCCAGAGGAGGTAGCAATGGCCCCAGGAATAAACAGCTTTAAAAGGGGATTCATGGAGGACATGTGTATCAATGACTACTAGCCACGGGTACTGAGGGGAACCTCTGCATTCAGAGTCACTAATCCTCTGAATCCCAGAGCCAGGAGGCAATATCAGGGGGATTCAGCCTCTCTGCCTTGTTGTTGGCCCTCCAGAGGAACTGGTCGACCACTGTGTGAGACAGGATGTTGGATTAGAGTGAATACTGGTCTGATCCAGCGGGCTCTTCTTATGTTCTTAAACTGCATTATATTTATTTTGAAACTATCTTGTCCCTGGAAAGAAAAATCCAAAATAGGAATATCAGAATTTGATCAATGTTTACTTTTATGCCAGGTGCAAAGAAGAACGAACTTCAAACATGCACAGGATATTTTCATTTTAATTATTTATAAGCCATTTTCCTATTCTTAAAAACAATTCTCAAGCAGAAGACAATAGTGTTAAACCAAATCATAATCCTTGAAAGGTGCATCTTAAATAGACTTCTATAAAGCAAAGGTAAAGGTTTCCCTTGCTTGAAAGCCAGTCGAATCTGACTCTAGGGGGCAGTGCTCATCTCCGTTTCCAAGCCGAAGAGCCAGCACTGTCCAAGGACATCTCCGGGGTCATGTGGCCAGCATGACTAGACGTCAAGGCACAGAGAACGCTGTTACCTTCCCAGTTCCCACTGAAGTGGTACCTATTTATCTACTTGCAATTTCTTGCTTTCAAACTGCTAGGTTGACAGGAGCTGGAACTAGAGATGGGAGCTCACACCGTCACGCAGCACTTGGGTCTCGAACTGCCGAACTACCAGCCTTCTAGTCTGCAGCTCAGCGTCATAACCTCTGAGCCACTACGGCCCCTCAGACTTACATACTAGTTGCTAATTAAAGCCTGAATGATGTCGTGCTTCAAGTTTTGGACTAGGATCTGGAGGACCCAGGTCTGAATTCCCCACTTTGCCATGAAAGCTTTAAGGGTGACCTTGGGCCAGTCTCATACACTGAGCCTAACCTACCTCAGAGGTTAGTGGGTAGTCGGGTTAGTCTGA